TCGAGTAAATAGTTAACTTAATACTCCAAAATAGCAATTAATTAAACTGTGCAAGCCGTATTGATTAAAACTTAGTAAAATATTTGGGTGCATTTGTATAGGCTCTACATGTTGGACTTTGGATAGAAACATGAGAACTCATACTTCTCCAAAATTAAGTATTTTCAAACAATTTTTTTATAAAAAAGTCAACAGTATAATTAGTTGTCACTTGTCAATAATATATAAGAGCTGAATTTGAAACTCCCTTATCCCAGTTTAATAACATTTAAAATATACAGTATAATTTCTTTTTTGACTGAAGGTTAATTTTCTCTTATTTCTTATATAGCGCTTTCTTTAATATTTCAGCCCATAGAATTTCAGGACTCGACGTATGTACGTACATATGTAGGTGATGATTGTTTGAAATAGTTTTTGGTTTTAGTTTTTGGTTTTAGTTTTTGGTTTTTAGATTTTGGTTTTAGATTTTAGTTTTTGATTTTTAGTTTTTAAGTTTTCGGTTTTAGTTTTCAGTTTTTGGTTTTGGTTTTTAGTTTTTAGATTTTGATTTTTGGTTTTTCTGTAGTTTTTGGTTTATCAAAAAATAATCAATGCATTATTTAAAATAATAACACAAAACATTAATAAAAAATCAGAAATTGCCATTAAATTTATAAAAATAGAATAACGATGGTTTAAAGTGTCATACTAAAATATAAATCAGAAAATATCTATAAATTATAAAAAATGCTTAAAATTTGAAATAGTTATATAATTTATTATATATAATATATTTATTTTAACACTTGAATGGCTATTTTCAAAATTTATATAATATTAATATTTTTTTATATTTTTCTAATTTTTAGTGTGTCTAATAATTCTTAAAATTATTCGATAATTTTATGTATATGTATTAATAACTAATCGTGAACAACTAATATATATATATATATATATATATATATATATATCAAAATTTATTTATAGATATAACACATAAATAATTATCTTACATTTTTGTTTAAATGATATCTTATCTACAAAAACTTGTATGCAAAAATTCTCTTTATGCAATACTATTTATTTACTTATTAATTAAATAATTATAGTATTTGACTATTCTCTATAAAAAGAAATAAAATTCGTTTTTTTTTTCTAAAAACTCACAAAGGTTGGTTTTTGGTTTTTCTTCATAAATGGGTTGAATTTTGAAAAACTAGTTTCCCTAAAATTTAGGGAATCCATTTTTAAAAAATCTTGATTGGCAAATCAAATGGTTCTTACAAAAACAAAAAACTAAAAACCAAAACTTGATTGGATAAAAAATGATTTTTACAAAAACAAAAACCAAAAACTAAAGCAAAAACCAGAAACAATCATCACCGTAGTCTTTCTTTACTAAGCCACTGAATTTTCTTAAGTTTGTCTAGTTTCCCAGATGTAGGATTTAGTTAGCCTGTTGCAGTTAAATTCATTTTGGGTTTTTTATTAATAATGTATTTGATTCAAATTATAATAATTAGATAATTATGTTTTAATTGTTGTGGATGACAAACTGAGGATCATGGCCGATCTGGAACATAGGGAAAATAATAGGCAAAATAACCACGCTTAAGATATCATAATTTTATACGTTTATATGTTTATTATATATAGAATATTATATTTTATAAGATTTCCATAAATAATAAAGGCACTAACACAAAATTACTTCAAAATAATTTTATATTTTCCGACATTTCAGTTAAATATATTTCCTGAGAGTTGCTGGTAGTTTTCACTAAACATAAAATGTACACCATCTATATTGAATATTCGGTAGGTGATTTGAATTAACGAAATTAGTTTTTCAAAAAATAAATAAAGACACAAAATATTAAATGAGTTTAGGACATCAAGTAAAAAATGAAAATGTTAGACCGGTATTACCGAATATTAATAATAATTTGCTTCTTCTTTTTTTTTGTCAATCAATAATAATTTGTTTAGAAGTTAGAACATGAGCAGAAAATAGACTAATAGGATAAGTGATACACACCTTATCAATTTATCTCGTGTTTTGGTGTTTAGATGGTCCAAGCAAGGAAGGCATCGCATCGCACAGACACGCTTCTGCTATTTCCATCATGTTTTTTTTTGGTGAAAGATGTTCCATCATGTATGTTCCCCCACACGCACCACTATCTTCTATACACCAAATTTAAATGTTTTCCTATCCACCAAAACTATTAATATTATTCCACACGGTCATTTGTTGTGTTTATTTAAGTATAACACTATAATCCAATAGACTCAAACGTTTAATTCAAATTCTTTTTCCAATATGGCATCGCAACATCGTCCAACTAATATGCTTATATATTTCTAATAAGAACTAGATTTTGATCCTGCACGGATGTATTTTTCGAAAATATATTGTTATTTATGTTTTATATCAGTATATATATCATATAAGTATCATCATATAACTAATAGTATTTTATACGTACCATAGTATAAATTATTGCCGAGTTTGCTGGTCGATCCGCTCCGCTGCAAATTAAATCATTTTAGATTCAAAAATTTGACACGCAAGTAGAAATTTATTATTCCTGAACCCGTCTTGTTTAAATTATATGGTAAAATTTTAATTTTTATCACAAATATATTTCACAAAATGTATTCCAAATCATTTGAACTTTACTTGACATCATAATATATTAAAGTGCTGATATTTTTTTTTAATTCTATAAAAAATTGATAGTTAACGGATTATGTGTTTTTTATGAGATAACCTAATTCGTTTATGATTTGTGGAAGTTTGTTTTGCTTTGTAGTTTATAAACAACAAAGATATTCCTTTAATATAGTTTTTTATATATTTTTTAAAATGTGAGTTTAATATTTAACAATTATTTTATTGGTTAACCAAATAAATTTAAAATATTCTTAGGAACATGACTATATAATTAGAAAGTTTCTGATATATTTTTGTAATCAAATCATATAAATTTGCTAAGATAATGATTTACATTAAGAAAATTGTCACATATCTAACCTAGAAAATAACTATGAAATGTGATGATAATGAATTAACCTGAGACTAATAACAAAAAAAGATAACTGTTAAAGATAAAAAATAAAAGAAAATGAAGAATGATCAAATCATATGTGGCTTCAAAAGAGGAATCATTATGATAGATCATCTGCACATAAACCAAAATCAGAATCAGAAAACAAAAAATTATAAGTATATATATATATAAAGTCTTAACATTCTAAAATAAAATAAATTTACTAAATCCAAAGCCGAAAAAATAACATCATAAAACTTCACTGACTTCGTTTCTCTGATGTTAATGTCTTATATATAGTAAATTGGTAAACATTTCTAAACGACATAGATTTCACGAGAAAGTTTGAAATAAAATATTCTTAATAAATTTTCAAAAATATTATACTTATAGTGAAATCTGTCAACCAAAATTCTGGTATAATTGACAGATTTCACTATAAAAAAAATTAAATATTAAATACATAAAATTATGGGAGAAGATATCTTATCAGTTAATTTTGTAACAAATTTTTGAATAACATGTTCTATAACAAATATTTAAATGTAAAATATATATTAGATAAAAAATATAAATATTTAAAAGATAAACCTTGGTTCTTGTTTATTTGTTGTTTTCGTCATAATACTATTAAATTGAAAATAGAAATCAAGAAAACTTACCAATACAATCCAGTGTTTGAAGATTGATATTATAAAGTTTAGATTTTTGTAGCGATTATTTTTTCGATAGCTATTCCAATGAAACAAATCTGTGACATTAAAATGATCATGATTAGATCTAACCTAAAAAATAAATATGAAATGTGAAGATAATCGTCCAAAAAAAATAAGACAAATGTTTAGTTCACGGGAAAAAAACTAAAGAAAATGAAGATGATCAAATCATAACATGTAAGTTACAGAAGTTTGATTTCTTGTACAAAATGCTGCAATCTTTACACTCTAGAAAATGAAGAAATTTTGAATAAGATATTGATTAGAAAATGAATTTAAAAAAAAAATCAAACTTCTGTAACTTACATTTTCATTAGCGAGGGCCAACTATAATGTGTTGCCTCCATAACTGGTGTTTTGTTTCCAACAATGAAGAACCTTAACGCGAATTTGTCAATTATATTTGTAAGGTTTAACACCGTTAAGGAATACAAAAGTGTGATTTTTTATTTATTGGAGGTGATATTAAATGTCGAGTGATGAATATGACAAGAACTATATATACGCCTCATATTTTGGGTAGGACATCAAAACAAATATACTCTCCAACAATTCAGAAAACCAATTAATAGTCTATAATTAATATCAAATTAAGAGATTTAGTATCTAAGCGACATATATATATATCTATCGAATTGTGGTTTATAATTAATAACAAATCAAAAGCTTTAAATATAACCAAGATTTTCTGCTTAAAAAGAATAAGAATATACTGAGGATTTTCGTAAAGAATAAGAAGGTGAATTATAATTATGTTCCAAATAATTATAAGATACCGAATCATCACTAACTTCCTAAATATTAGATAACTTCTTAAATAATAGCGAAATATAATTAATTGCGTAAAGATTAGATTATACTAACAATAATATCATATCGTTATTAGACTATAGATTAATAATATGAATTCCAACTTAAAAATTCACCTAAAAGAAGTTGTAATATTTCTGTTTTAATAAGATAGAAGGTTTAATACTATAGGTCTAAAAATGTTAGGCAAATTGTAAACACCCCATAGTTGGAGGTATAGCCTATAAGCTATGAATTATATAACCAAATCAATATTATGAGACTTGTGAATATATTATAAAGTATTACTTACATTTTGGGAGAGTGTTATATTTATTTTATCAAGATAATAGGTTGAAGTAATTTAATGAAATTCATCATATTATTTACGTGAAAACTTGAGACCGTTGATACACAAAATTTACGAAATAAAGGACCGGTCTCACACTATAAATACCCTTCCTCCTTTGCTCCCTAACAAAAACGCTCACACTCTTTAACAACTCTCAACTTTAAAAACCGAACTCTCTTCTCTTGTCTCTGTAATGGCACGTCTCCTTCAAGAAGCCACCTCTCCATCTCCTACGGACGTTTCTCCGACGCTAAACTCCGATCTCATAGTCATCATAGCTGCTCTTCTCTGTGCACTCATTTGCCTCCTCGGCTTAGTCGCCGTCTCTCGTTGCACCTGGCTCCGACGTATCACCGCCACGGGTCAGACTCATCAACCACCGGTTGCTGCGGCCAACAAAGGATTAAAGAAGAAAGTCCTCCGGTCTCTGCCGAAGCTCACCTACTCGCCGGAGGAGAAACTCACCGAGTGTGCTATCTGTCTGTCGGAATTTACCGCCGGCGATGAGCTCAGAGTGTTGCCGCAGTGTGGTCACGGTTTCCACGTATTGTGTATCGACACGTGGCTTGGGTCCCATTCATCATGTCCTTCCTGCCGTCAAATCTTGGTGGTTGCCAGGTGTCACAAATGTGGGGGCTCAAGCTCAGGATCCGAACCCGATATCTATATCAAGCAACGTGAAGATGCCCCTGCTAACTTCTTACCTTGATTCTTCTTTAGACCCTTCCCCTTTTTACACTATATATTATATTGAAAATCTTCATTGTCATCATTTTAAAGGATAATGTTAATCAATAATATGTAATTATGTAGATGCTTATTTATTGTAAATGGATTATGTAATGGAAAGTTGATATCATTGAACCCCACTTGGCTTTTATATTGCAAATGAAAGAGGAAAAAGTTCTTCAATATAGTCATACAGAGTAGGGGTGGACGTTCGGGTACCCGTTCGGGTTCGATCGGATATTTCAGGTTTTCGGGTATTTCGGTATTGGGGTTTAGAACCCGTTCGGGTATTTTTACATATCGGGTCGGGTTCGGATATTTTTAGTTCGGGTTTGGTTATTTTGGATCGGGTTCGGATATTTAGATTTTGAAAGGAAAATTTTAAATTCTTTATTATTTAAGTTTCATGTATTTAAAATTTAACTATTAACTTAACTGTTTTAAAAATGTTTAATAAGTTAGACGATTAATAAGTTTGAAAATAAATTATTGAAAATAAAAATCATTATTTTGGTTGTTATTTTTGAATTTTGAATGCAAATTTTGTTTAAAATATCAAATAAGAAGCTTAATATGAATTTTAAATGAGTAATAAATCATTTTTTTACAATTATATGTATATTATCTGATATTAAACTATATATAACATTAATATAAATATTTTTAATAAAATGAGATAAATCAACTAGGAATAAATAGGTATATATACATATGTTCGGTTATCTTCGGATACCCGTTCGGGTTCGGGTATTACCCGTTCGGGTTCAGATATCCAAACTCTCCTAACTTAATACCCGTTCGGGTATTTTGCTACTTCGGTTCGGATTTCGGTTCGGATATTTCGGGTCGGGTTCGGGTACGAGTTTGGGTATCGGATAAAGTGCCCACCCCTAATATAGAGTATGCCTGAATGACACTTTGGGAGTAAATATTTTGGAGTAAATTTATTTTACTCTATATTCTGCTTAATCATTATCAATCAGGTTTAATACGGCAGAAATATATTTCAGCCATTTTCAGAAATATATTCTTTCTTTATTTATTTGTTTTTCACTATTTTAATCTACATATCATTTTAATTTTCCTTGCATTCCATCCATTTTGTGTACTCCTAGTTACTCTATTCTTAACCAATCACACTCATATTGTTTATAGATACACGATTTGTGAACTACCTGGAGACCATGAAACAGTTTCAATAACTTGCAACTGAGATGTTGGACCACACAACATATTAATTATTTAGTTCCAAACAAAACTACCAGATGCTTGATTTCATTTTGTTGTTGTCTGTAACCATTAGCTTAGTTAATGGTGTTCGAATATGTGATGGTAAATGTATTTATGAATGGTACCCATTTTGTATGTTTAGATTGTTCCATGTCGTGCCAACTAATCAAGAACCTACTTTGGTATCATACATAAGTATCTACGATTTCAGGTTCCTAATCGAGTGTTGGTTGTTTGTTGCTACGATTTCGATCAACTAATGGAATATTCCATGGAGAAGTAGACAGAAGGACCAGTGTACATGGAACAGATGGTGTGATGTGTGTTGTCTTAATTTTCTCTTTTCAATTAATAAAGCAGCAAACTAGTAACAGTCGAGCTCTATATATTTAATTTATTCATGTTTTTTTGTTTAAAAGTAGCACTTTATAATATATTGGGAACACGAGCCTGTATCCCACTAAATTATCAAACTCAACTTTAAACTATTTAGGACTTCGAAAATGACCATGACCCGTGAAGATGGACTTATTTTGTCGTCGAACATTGACCTAACAAAAGATGGCCAAAATCTTCAGTACAGCTAAAGTGCGAGTTAAGACAATGAGAAAGTATTTTGATAATGATTTAGCAAGATGTAGATAATTACAGTCACGATAACAGCTATAATAGAATTATTTATCTTCCTCTGTGTAGCCATCAAATAAAATACGTACGAATAATGATGGTCCACCATCGCGAGCTTTCATAATTCATCAAGAGTTTTTCCACTATGGAAAGTGCAGTGCGTCCATGTGCTATGTGCTAAACTGCTAATCTTATTTAATCGTATAAAAATGTTAGGTTGGCTGAAGTTAGTTGACGATCTCTCTTTTCCAATTAAATTTTCTCCGACCTCTCTCTAGGTTTTTGCTTCGCCTCTCTCGTTTTCCGGCGCCGTCGCGTCCTCTAGGGCGGTCGCCGGAGCCCCTGTGTCTTTTTTTCCTCTCTCTCTTCTCTCTTCTTCCCTTGTTCATCTTTGTTCTCTCTGGTTTCTTTCTGCGGCGGAGGGGAAGTTTCCTAGAAGCTCCTCGGTTCAGATCTGGGGGTTTCCGGCCTGGATCTAGAGCTTA